CAAGAGAGAGAGAGAGAGAGAGAGAGAGAGAGAGAGAGAGAGAGAGAAAGAGAATGAGACATAGATTGAGACAGAGAGTGAGAGAATGGAGAGAGAGAGGCGAAAAGTTAACTAGTGGAAGATTTTTTGAGTTTGATGACTGGAAAAAAAGTGGAGGCTCAGCAAAGAAGTCGTATATCTCCTACAAGTTTGCCATCAACATGGGAATTTTAATTGAAGTCCCCAGTGCTTAATGCTATTCCATGTCTTCCTACTTCTCTGTACATCGATTTCTCTTCTCCAGGTTTCGCGAGGTCATCCCCTAGATCTTTTACCCTGTGGGTTCCAATCCAATCAGCAATTGCCAAAAAGTATTTGACATCAACGTCGTCGTAAAGGAATGTGGCCGGCCACTGTAACGGCTCACGGTCACATCGATTCTGACCACAGGCCGCTGAGAGCAGCTCGCTGGAGATAATGTGGGATCTGAACTTGGTTTACAAGAACCATGGCTGCGGGAGCATAGCAGTCAGCCCAGACAAACGAGGGTTAAAACTAATTTGAAAATACACAAAAGCAATGACGTTTAACAATGGGTTTTAATGTTTTTGTCGTATTCATTGTTACAACCTATTTAACGAGCATGATAACATGAATCAGTCTGACTCTTTGGCGAAGCACAGGTCGTCAAATTAATGCTTCAGTATTTACCAATACTGAAAGGAAACTTTTTCTTCCTGGGTTTTCTTGGCTCTGGCTTCGGGGCTTCTGTTGAAGTTGTAGAAAAATAGGTATTTCAGGCAAACGGGGTAGGGAACTCACAGTAAGTTATTTGGAATACCTAACAAACCGGGGATTGGGAAACACCAGGTAAATTTAGGTTTTAGAGAACATCCCGACGGAGAAATGAATTTCCAAGTAACATACTGAAAAACAGCACAGTTATTCCAAATACAAAAGCGACATTTAAAGCATGAAAGATGTAAAATTGGTAATCTTTGTCTTTCCGATCCCAGCAATGTGCTACTCGTAGAGGATGTACTTCGAAAATCCTGGGAAGACGTCTCTAAAGTCATAGCTGTAGATATTCTTTTTTGTCACTGCTGTTGATTCTTCAAGAGAGGACTCTGCGAGAATAAAAGGAATTATATCCCATTTTCGTTACAAGCCGAAGGTCTAAGTTTACTTTCACCCCAAAGTCTTTTTTTTAAAAGGATTTTAGTTTCGGGGACTATCTATTAACAAGGATTTTGCTAGATTTTCGATGGCTGATTCTGTTCTATTGTTGCAAGACTTTCTCTTGTAAAATAGCATGCGTAGATGCTAAAATATTGAATTGTAACATAAAACAAAACAAAGCGATAGCCACTTTTCCCGAACTCTCCACCCTCCTTTCCATAGAAAATAAAAACTCCAAAACAGCAGCAACAAAAAAGACCGAACCAAAAAAAGGATTAAAAAAAACCCCAAATCAAACAAACGTCATAAAAACATGGGCCAGTTATGTTCATTTCATCATCATCATCATCATCATTAATTGTATTATTATCGTTATTGTTATTAACGTTATTATTATTATTATTGTTATTATTATTGTTGTTGTTGTTTTTATTTTTATTATTATTATTATTTATAATAA